TCTGAGGGTTATAGAGGACTAACAATAGGGAATTTATTGGCGTTATAAGGGGCTTTAACTGCCGGGGTGAGTAGGGTGGTAAAAGGGGGGGGGGTTCAGGGGATTTCAACGGGCTCACCTCCTTGGGTATGCAGTGATGGGTGATTGGGTGTGATTGGAGGTACTAGTGTGTGACCAGATGAGAGGTTGTGCAAGATTAGTTTTGCTTAGTTCCCTTGATGGGGAAGGTGTAAGGAGCAGATTAAATATATAACATGTATTAATGTATAACCTATAAATTATATAACATGTATATTTCTTTGGTAGCGTATTATGTTCCACTTGCACTGGTATTGCAATTGAATTTGAATTTTCTTGAGAGGGTTTTCCTTTCACTATTTCCTTGAAGCACTGAGTTATTTTTGCCTTTTTTTGTAACGTGGTCCAGCATCAGTTTTGACGTAATTACCTATTATTATTATTCTTATTTAAGGTATTGTAATTTTGGTAGTCCTGTACCATTCATGGTTGTAAATAATGTTTCCTCAAGTGACATGTGTCATAATAATCCTAAATTGAGGATAATTAATGTCATGATTATTCAGGTTGGTGATAGGGTTAGTTTTCAATGTGTGTGTGTGAGTGGGGGGGGGGAGGGATGATGGGTCACCTGTGTTGCAGCACAGGTTTCTTAATAAAGCATATTGTAGGTCTGGTGTAATTTGTTGCGAGTTGTATTATGGGTGATTGTCATTAAGCTTGGTGCATTATTGTGTTGAGGTTGTAATTTTAGGAGTTTTATTTATAGCCATTTTGTGGCCTATGTTATTATACCTTTATTCCTTCTTAAATTGTGATATGTTTTAAAAACTTGTATATAGCAGACTGTCAGATGTTGCCTGGATTGTTTTGTGTTTATATATTGTTTTACTGATGTTGTCCTTGTTCATTATTTTATATATGTACCTATTAATATTTGTACATGAAGTTTTAAATAAAATATAAAAAAAAAAAAAAATTATATAAGTTGGTAACTTGGTTTAATCCTATAAAATCATTGTCATAATTATTTAATTTCCAGTGTAATGGTAGAAAGCAGGAGCTGGATAAAGGGTTAGCGGAAGCAAACTTAATAAATGGTAGTAATTATTAGAGATAATCAGGATACAGAAGACTGGGGACCAAGTACCCCAATTTTAAGCTAAGAAGCTGGGCCAGGAGCTGCAACGCTACCCAACAAGCGCAACCAAACGAGTCAAAACACGTTTCTTCCCTTCTCTCTCCCCATATCCCAGAGTTTTGTTCTCGCTGCGAGTATGTACGTTGTAGACGTGCTCGTACACACACAAACCTACGTAAACGTATCTGCTTCCTACGCCCCAAGTGGCTACTGAAATCCTTGAGATAAAACCTTAAGCAGGAAATTCCGGCCCCACGCTCAACTGCTCAGTGAATTCTTTCAGGTTGATAGAATGTTGGCACGAGCTCCCGCTGGTGGGGCGATGCCTGAATTTGGTTCTTGGATTTTTAAACTATGTTCTATGATTTTCGGGATGAAATGTTTCAATAAGCCGTACCAAACACCTATTATGTTGCATTAATTGCAGTATAGGTCATACCAATACCAATTTATATCAAAAAATATATGAACTCCTTATTTAGGCGTCTTGCCATGTAGAATATGAAGAGTTCTTAGGATATGCAACTCAACAGCACAGGTCACGTAACCCAGGCAGGGCGGATCTACTATGAAACTGATGAAGACTAAGCTTCAGGGCACCAAATCCCGGAGGGGCCCCTAGAAGCGACTTTAGTCCATATTGTTTAAAAAATTTAGGTTTACTGTATGAGAAGGGTTTGCGAAGGACTCCCAAAAATGTAAGTCCTCCACTGAACCCAGGTCTTCAGCTCCTCACCTGGCGGGTAGATGACCTCACGTACTCACGCCGTTCTTCACCTGACCAGATCAGTTATAAATGGATTCGATTATATGTTTTCTGTGCAACTTTCTTAAGCTTCCTTAACGTTAAAAATAAATATAATGAAAGCTTATGCTGTTTTCAGGTAGCGTGACTAGTAGAGCAAGAACGTAAATATCAAGGAGCACTGCAACAGCAGACCGACTGGCCCATGCTAGGTAGGTCTTTCTCAAATTCAGCTTCAACCTTTTACACTCATAAGCAGTGTCTGACAGTAAAGATACTTAACTGTTACGTGTTTGACTAGTCTACTTGTCAGTATTGTGTACTATTAAAAATACTGAGCTCTGTGAAAGGACTGTCATGGGTTTCCGCAATTCAGTGAGTGAGACAATTATATTCGTTTAAGAGGAAGATAGCCTGACTCTGACTTTATGAGATACCACAATGATGGGTAAGAAACATGTCCAGCATTAGGTGTCATTTGATCAAGGCTGAGGAATTAATTTTCTCAAACTACATCTCTGGAAAAAAAAACACGGTGTGGATGGGATTAGAACCCATGGCAAGTGAGTCATAAAACTCCAGGTTCGACGTAGCAACACACGTACAAGAACCCCTTAAGATTCCTGAACACGGATGCTGAGATGAGACCATTACCAGCACAAGACGACATCGGGGACAGCAAGTGTCCGAAAAGACAGAGAACCTCCTCTTCACAAGGCAAGACTACTGTGCAAGATGTCAAGAATAGAAGATGTACGACACTCCCCCAGTGGGAGCCACTGTTGGTCACCTCATGGATAAGACGGACCATACACAAAATCTGTGTATTCCCGATATTAGGACTCCTAGCCAATGCTAAGAAATGAGAATTATAAACTTATTTGATAAAAGGAGGGTTGGCAATCCTGGCGGTGGGCGGAGCTAAGCGAGGATTCAAATCTTTACAACCGTTGACCAGTCAGTTGACCTGTGACCTCCGTCAAGTGTGCGCCGTCTCTCTGTGTTTGTGTGTGTTATTTTTGTGGATAAATGATTCATTTAAAAAATAAGAATGGAAGAATACTGCAGCAGACCTGCTGGCACATACAAGGTAAGTCTTAATCGAAACCAGTAATTTCCACCCACCCACTTGTCCAACCTTTTCCCAAAGTTACCCAAGAATTTGCTCAGTACCTCAGATAACTGAATAAATAGTTTGGAAAACTAACAAGTTGATGCATAAGACACATGTACAACACTTGGGTATTTTTATTCTGGAAACTATATTTATTTTGCTATAGCTTGTGCAGGCACTAATTGTCATATTAAAGTAGCCTCTCTCCAGACGGCTATTGATCGTACTTCCCACTGGGCATCCTCTCATGGGTTTAATTTTTTATTATTAATTATTTTTTATTAACACACTGGCCGATTCCCACCAAGGCAGGGTGGCCCGAAAAAAGAAAAACTTTCATCATTCACTCCATCACTGTCTTGCCAGAAGGGTGCTTTACACTACAGTTTTTAAACTGCAACATTAACACGTATAGTGCAGGCACTATACTTCCCATCTCCAGGACTCAAGTCCGGCCTTCCGGTTTCCCTGAATCCCTTCACAAATGTTACTTTGCTCACACTCCAACAGCACGTCAAGTATTAAAAACCATTTGTCTCCATTCACTCCTATCAAACACGCTCACGCATGCCTGCTGGAAGTCCAAGCCCCTCGCACACAAAACCTCCTTTACCCCCTCCCTCCAACTTTTCCTAGGCCGACCTCTACCCCACCTTCCTTCCACTACAGACTGATACACTCTTGAAGTCATTCTGTTTCGCTCCATTCTCTCTACATGTCCGAACCACCTCAACAACCCTTCCTCAGCCCTCTGGACAACAGTTTTGGTAATCCTGCACCTCCTCCTAACTTCCAAACTACGAATTCTCTGCATTATATTCACACCACACATTGCCCTCAGACATGACATCTCCACTGCCTCCTGCCTTCTCCTCGCTGCAACATTCATCACCCATGCTTCACACCCATATAAGAGCGTTGGTAAAACTATATTCTCATACATTCTCCTCTTTGCCTCCAAGGACAAAGTTCTTTGTCTCCACAGACTCCTAAGTGCACCGCTCACCCTTTTCCCCTCGTCAACTCTATGATTTACCTCATCTTTCATAGACCCATCCGCTGACACGTCCACTCCCAAATATCTGAATACATTCACCTCCTCCATACTCTCCCTCCAATCTGATATCCAATCTTTCATCATCTAATCTTTTTGTTATCCTCAAACCTTACTCTTTCCTGTATTCACTTTTAATTTTCCTCTTTTGCATACCCTACCAAATTCATCCACCAATCTCTGCAACTTCTCTTCAGAATCTCCCAAGAGCACAGTGTCATCAGCAAAGAGCAACTGTGACAACTCCCACTTTGTGTGATTCTTTATCTTTTAACTCCACGCCTCTTGCCAAGACCTTCGCATTTACTTCTCTTACAACCCCATCTATAAATATATTAAACAACCACGGTGACATCACACATCCCTGTCTAAGGCCTACTTTTACTGGGAAATAATTTCCCTCTTTCCTATGTACTCTAACTTGAGCCTCACTATCCTCGTAAAAACTCTTCACTGCTTTCAGTAACCTACCTCCTACACCATACACCTCCAACATCTGCCACATTGCCCCCCTATCCACCCTATCATACGCCTTTTCCTAGTCCATAAATGCCACAAAAGCCTCTTTAGCCTTATCCAAATACTGTTCACTTACATGTTTCGCTGTAAACACCTGGTCCACACACCCTCTACCTTTCCTAAAGCCTCCTTGTTCATCTGCTATCCTATTCTCCGTATTACTCTTAATTCTTTCAACAATAACTCTACCATACACTTTACCAGGTATACTCAACAGACTTATCCCCCTATAATTTTTGCACTCTTTTGTCCCCTTTGCCTTTATACAAAGGAACTATGCATGCTCTCTGCCAATCCTCAGGTACCTTACCCTCTTCCATACATTTATTAAATAGTTGCACAAACCACTCCAAAACTATATCCCCACCTCCTTTTAACATTTCAACCTTTATCGCATCAATCCCGGCTGCCTTACCCCCTTTCATTTTACCTACTGCCTCACGAACTTCCCCCACACTCACAACTGGCTCTTCCTCACTCCTACAAGGTGTTATTCCTCCTTGCCCTATACACGAAATCACAGCTTCCCTATCTTCATCAGCATTTAACAATTCCTCAAAATATTCCCTCCATCTTCCCAATACTTCTAACTCTCCATTTAATAACTGTCCTCTCCTATTTTTAACTGACAAATTCATTTGTTCTCTAGGCTTCCTCAACTTTTTAATCTCACTCCAAAACTTATTCTTATTTTCAACAAAATTTGTTGATAACATCTCACCCACTCTCTCATTTGCTCTCTTTTTACATTGCTTCACCACTCTCTTAACCTCCCTCTTTTTCTCCATATACTTTTCCCTCCTTGGATCACTTCTACTTTGTAAAAACTTCTCATATGCTAACTTTTTCTCTCTTTACATCATCATTCCACCAATCGCTCCTCTTCCCTCCCACACCCACTTTCCTGTAACCACAAACTTCTGCTGAACACTCTAACACTACATTTTTAAACCTACCCCATACCTCTTCGACCCCATTGCCTATGCTCTCATTAGCCCATCTATCCTCCACCTCTCTCTCCCCTGATGCTTCTATTCTCCTTGTATCCCATCTACCTTTTACTCTCAGTGTAGCTACAACTAAAAAGTGATCTGATATATCTGTGGCTCCTCTATAAACATGTACATCCTGAAGTCTACTCAACAGTCTTTTATCTACCAATACATAATCCAACAAAGTACTGTCATTTCGCCCTACATCATATCTTGTATACTTATTTATCCTCTTTTTCTTAAAATATGTATTACCTATAACTAAACCCCTTTCTATACAAAGTTCAATCAATGGGCTCCCATTATCATTTACACCTGGCACCCCAAACTTTAATTCCTATTGGATAATTAGGGCCCTCCATATCTCTCTAGGTGGTTGGGGGTCTTCTTTGTTTCCGTACGAACGAACGAACAAGTTCAGGTAAAATCCCAAATGGGATTAGCGGGGGAGACGGGACAGACGAAGACTAGCTCTGGAGAGGAGTCTTCTTAGTCGTAGAAATAGTGCCAGGGCTTAACCCAGCAGCTAAAGCGATCGTGGGACAAGCATTGAGAACAGAAATTCAGGTTCTTCTATTGTGACTCCGGTGGGGTGAGCGGGGAGGGCGGGACAGGCGAAGATTAGCACTAGAGAGGAGTGTAGAATTGAGCCATGTCTTAACCTAAAACAAAGGCGAACGTGGGTCAGAGAATGGTACCTGTCAGAGAAGGTACCTCTCAGAGAATCCAAGGTTATTTGTAAATAGGGTTAGGAGCAGGATTATACAAGGAGTAGAAAAGGTTGTGTTGGTTTGCGGGTCTGCGAATGTCTTCGTCAAGGAGAGAGGTCCAGTAGTCATGTCGTGTCTCAAGTTTGTTTGTCACTGAGCGTCTTCCAGTACAGATTCAGCGCAGGGATGTCTAATTGGGCATGGAGAGACTCTCTTGTGGTGAAGTCCTCCCATCTGACATCAAGCACTCAGCGCAGCGCCTTGTTCTGGACACGCTGCAGTTTAAGTAAGTTTGTTTTAGCTGCAAGAGAGAGGGCTAGAGGAGAGTAAGTTATCAGAGGACGTATTAGGGATTTGTAGAGGTGTAGTTTGGTGCGTTGGGAGGCATGTTGTAGTTTGTAGAGGCCCGCAAGGGCCTTACTAGCTATTGCATACCTTGAGTGAATGTGTCCGTGTAAGCGAAGAAGGTAGTCAAGATTAACGCCAAAGACAGTGACAGATTGTGTGATGGGGATGTAAGTGCGGGTGTCAGCTGTTCTGAGCTCGACGGGTCATGGAGGATCACGTTTCCTATAGTTAAAATACGTAATGCTGGATTTAGCTGCATTGGATTTGATCCTCCATTTTTGTTTCCAGATGGCTATCCTGTCGACCTCATTTTGTGTTTTGTGTGTGAGTGTATCTACATTGGCGTGAGTGATGAGTTGTGTAATGTCGTCTACATAGGCTAGAGTGATGGAGGTGTGGTATACAGGTGTTGGAATGTCGTTAGTGTATAAAATGTAGAGGGTAGGGGAGAGGACAGATCCCTGGGGTACTCCAGCATTTAGTGTGAAGTAGTCAGAGTAACAGCCTTGGAATTTGATTCTCATGGTACGGCCGTCTAGGAAGTTGCAGAAGAGTTTACGAGTAGTGAGAGGCAGGATAAAGTTAGTGCAGAGTTTTTATTTGAGCCCTTCGTGCCAGACAGTGTCAAAAGTTTTTTCAACGTCTTTTGCAACCAGGGCTGTCCTGTTTCTTTGTTTTGTGTTTATGGATGTAGTTGAGAATGAAGTTAATGGCATGCTGTGTGGATCTGTGACTACTGACGCCAAACTGGCTATCAGAAAGTAGAGAGTTGTGTTCCAGGTATCTGCAATGGCTATGATTGGAGAGTTTTTCGAAGAGTTTTCCTAAAGTTTCGAGGAGGCTGATAGGGCGATAGTTTCTAGGATCAGAGTGGTCTTTTTTGGGTTTAGGAAGGAGGATAGCAGTAGCAGCTTTGAAGAGGGAAGGGAAGTATCCAGAGGCAAGGGAGGCATTGAGGAGGTTTGTGTAGGCAGTAATGATAGGAAGGTGTTTCAGGATAATATGGTTTAGGCCAGAGGCAATAGGAGCTTTGGGAGGAAGGTATCTGAGGAGGAGTGGGCGAAGGTGGATGCAGAGGAAGTGGAAGCTTTGGTAGGGGATGAGGAAGTGGGAGCTTTGGTTGGGGATGAGGAAGTGGGTATGGAGGTGATGGGAGGGGTGGTCGTAGCAGCAGCAGTAGGGGTGTTGGTGGGTGGGGTGGAAGTAGTAAAGAGGGGTTGGGGAGGAGGAGAGCTGGTGGGTGTAGGAAGTGGGGGAGTGGGAGAGAGAGAGGAGGAAGAGGCTATAGGGGGCTTAGAAAAGAAGCAGGAAGGAGGGATAATTAAAGAGGGAAGATTGTTAGCAGACAAGATTAGGTTAAGGACATGTGAGTAGTCTGATTGGTAAGCTTGAGAGATTACCATCGCAGAGTGGGCAGCAGTGGCGAGTTGACAGTTAGTTTTGTAGCCTAGTGTGGGTGTAGGTGTAGGAGAGGTGCTTGTAGTCTGTGTGTTGGTGAGAGTTTTCAGGTCTGTAAATATCGTCAACAGAGACTTTGTTCTTAGTACTAATGTCTTTCATTAAGTCTTCTTTATCTGTGTCATAGGCAGTCAGGAGAGAATATTCAACGGGTTTTGCGATCATTGTGCATTTGGCGCGGTGCTCAGGAGTCCAAATAATAGTGAAGCCTGCGTTGAGAAGTTTTTGTCTGGTCTCGGTTGAGGTGTACGTTTCGTAAGAATGTCTGTCAAGGGGTTTGAAGCCTGAGTTGGGTTTAAAGACTTTCAGCTGAGGTGCGCCAGTGATCTGGTACAATAAATTTCCAGGACAGATAGTGGCATGATCAGAATTAGAGTATTTGAGGTTAAGCGAGAAAGAATTGGGTTTGGAAGAGGTAGAGGCAGGGTAGGCCTTAGAGGTAGGAGTAGACGGAGTAGAGGCAGGTGTTGGCGGTAGAGGAGTGGTAAGGGGGAAGGAAGTGGAAGGCATTGAAGGCATCGTAAATCAGATGTGGCGGCCAAATCTGTGAGAATAATCGGCTAGGCAAGTGCGTGTGAAGTAGACACACGTACTTGCCTGGCTATAACTTTAAAGTTTTCTTGTGGAATCCGTCGCTGGAGGCACAGGACACTGAGGTGGTGAGCTGTAGCTTGATAGAGCACTGTATGCCCCGAACGGCGAAGAGAGGCAACACTGGCTGCGAACGGCGAGGAGAGGCAACACTGGCTGTGAGCAGTGAGGAGAGCCAACACTAGCTGTATGGCGTGCAGACTTCACGTACAGGCTGAGGCGTGGAGACTTCAGACAGCAACAGGAGTGCAGAGGGAGGGTTCCTGCCCTTGGGTAGGCAGCCACCGACGCACCAATCCTGATAGTGAAGACGAAGGTCCAGTAACCACCACTCTGACGAAAGTTACTCGCAACATGGAGTAATTAGAGAGGTGAGAGCGTTGGTCGATGAAGGTGTTCTAATGGTAGCCTTCCAAGCTGCAGTGTTGTTTCCGTGGGTGACTGGGGCCCTTTATATCTCCGTGAGTGGGTGGGGCTCTCCATGGTTCCACAAGAGGTTGGGGCTCTCCGTGCTTCCACGATTGGTTCCCTTCCAGGTAATTTAATATTGATGCTTTCCAAGTAATTTAATATTGATACCTTCCAAGTAATTTAATATTGTAAATGGCATCGAGTCATCTACTGATGCTCACTATACTATTAAATTGCCTTTGCTGGATTCCCGGTTACACACACGTTCCAGTGTTAACGTGTGCTTTTTTCTTCAAAATTATTTAATTCAACAGCATTATAAAACTGGCAATTAGGTAAGATTTCTTTAATTACACGGTGTTCCTCTAATAATTATCTAAATTACATAAGCGGTATAAAAAGCTTTTATGGGTTGTGTATTCGGTACATAGGAATAACATAAGTCGTCATCTCATTCTTAAGGTTTGACCTCTTCACAGGAACATTCTATGGTTTCAGAAATCTGCAAGAAATCATTAGCGTAGTTCGCCTAATGAAGAATTTCATGTAAATAGTTTAGAAACCCGACAAGTTGAAGAATGAGAGACCTGGGCAGCATTTGGGAATCCTTACTGAGGAAACGTTTCGCAAACCAGTGACTTCTTCAGTCCAATACAGGGAAGAACAGGTCTGTACATGAACGGTATACAATACAGGGAAGAACAGTTCTCTCTCTGTCTTCAAGAATTTTACGATGAAAGATTAAACTTCTTTCGTCTAACCCAATCTTGTTACCGCATTGGGTTGTAACACGATTTTAGGTGATTTACTGACCTATGTTGATAAATTAGACACATGTACAACTCTTGGGTATCTTTATTGAGGAAACGTTTCGCCACACAGTGGCTTCATCAGTCCATACAAAGGAGAATATTGAAGAACAGGAGGAGAATGAGGTAATCAGTCCCTCAACCTTGAGTCGATGTGGTCAGTCCATCAATCTTGAATAGAATACGGCATACGTGCTGAGAAGGAGCTTATAAACCGTTGGCAGGAGAGGTGCAGCAGTCATAGGTGGTGTAACATTTGTTCAATGTTGAAGTAGGTCGTGCCCAAGAATTAGGCGAGCGAAGAATTCCCAAGTATTAAGATCCCAAGAAGTTGCAGTGTCTGACAGGTTTTAGATGAATGGTTCAGAGAACCGACATGTTGATAAATTAGACACATGTGCAACTCTTGGGTATCTTTATTGAGGAAACGTTTCAACATTGAACAAATGTTACACCACCTATGACTGCTGCACCTCTCCTGCCAACGGTTTATAAGCTCCTTCTCAGCACGTATGCCGTATTCTATTCAAGATTGATGGACTAACCACATCGACTCAAGGTTGAGGGATTGATTACCTCATTGTCCTCCTGTTCTAAAATATTCTCCTTTGTATGGACTGATGAAGCCACTGTGTGGCGAAACGTTTCCTCAATAAAGATACCCAAGAGTTGCACATGTGTCTAATTTATCAACATGTCGGTTCTCTGAACCATTCATCTAAAAAACTGACCTATGTATGGAAAGATTTACTTTTTTCATGTAAAAGTCTTGTAGCTGAGCAAATGATTCAATGGAACCAACATGTCATTATTTATTTGGATCACCATATTATATAATTGTAAAGTATGAATCATTAATGCACGGTGGAAATAATCGTACAACTTGAGAAAGAACCACTGAATTGTTTGCGTCAGGCAAAGGAAGAAGTGTTGCTAGAAGGAAAATTATTTTTCAGATAAATATTAGTTGTGTAGATTGAGTTGTTACTTGACGTTATACGTCAAACAATGTAATTTTTTTTCAGAAAGTATGAAGGCTGTGGAATACGACAATGCACAGGAATGTTGTGTCGCCTCACAGGCTCTCCAGGGGGACAGTGTCAGTGCATTTAACTTATGCAGGTCGTGAGACGTAGCTTTCGTGAATGTAATTACGTTTTAAGAGCAAATAGCAAGGTGATATACCTGTTTATACCAACGATAGCATCAGCAAACTCGTTAGATTATTAACTCTCGTGCTTCGCTCATACCAGTAGAAAGGATGACTCAAAGACAAACTCAAGATTTTGTGGGTTAATACAAGACTTAAAATAGCGGATCTCCTAGTCCTATAGGCATAACAGGTAATCGCTAGTTCGGACTCCTGGGAAGTTTAGGCATCTATTAAGGACATGTAGAACATCATGCAACTTTATGGTTTGTTTTTGCATAAAGTACCAATGTGGTTTTAATCACTGTCTTTTATTGCTGCTTTAGGAATCCCTTGGTAATATTAGTGTAATATTCTTCCCTTTTTTATTAAGAATATTTATATTCAACCCACTAAGATTTTTGTTAATCATTCCAGGAACCGTCTGTCCTCTCCAGGTGAGTAGACTCTTCCTTAGCATTTCCTACGCTGGTTACTTGATGGATCGTAAGGGAGAGTGGTTGATCTTCAAACAAGCCCCCATCCAGATTCGTACTATAGAGTCCGCTAAAACTAATCCAACGGTGGCTGATGCAATAAGCTATAATCCTTAAAGGTTAATTTTTTTTATATTTTTATTTAAAAAACACAGTATACATGTATGTTATACATAATTGACTAAAACACAGTATAGATGTGTGATATACAAAATTGATTTTAAAACAAGAACCGTTGAAAACTTTATGTAAGACAACAATATATATAACCAAACAGAGAACTATCGGAACATACCTTAAACACCAAATAAATATATAACCAAACCTGACAGTCTTATTCATATTGTGTATGAAATTTTATATACAAAAGAATGTCATATAAACTAATGCATTGCGCATTCAATGGTGCTATGGACATATAAAAAATTATGTACAAAAACAATATCATAGAAACTAAAACATTGCACACTCACTAGTACTTTGGTTATATTAAATAACTATCAGAAAACTACATGACTTGAAATTGAAACCTGGTGTTCTTTATTTTTGGTTTTGCATGTATTGAAAAAGGAATCAAAATATAAAAAAATCCTTTAAAAATTTAAATAAGATTTTTACAGATCTTTTTTTTTGTATATTTTTATTAAAAATAGAACAATAAAAATAAGTATAAGAGTAAAAAAAAAAAACCATACTATTATTAAAAAAACCTCTGAAACAAAACCCCCGGGTTTACATTTGAACACCATATATCATGGCCATATTAAAAATTACAAAACCAAAACCCCATATACAAAACCTTTCAAACCCCCTTTTTCAAACCCATTATTGCCGTCCCGACACAGTGAACTTTCCCCCCCTTTCCCCGTATGTACGTCCCCATTCTAAATAAAAACTTAATTTTCCCTAATGAATGGTCATTAAAAACAATTTCTACTAAATAACCCAACCAAACCCAACTTCCAACAAAAACGTAGGGTATTATAAACATGTAGGAAACGAGTCCTTAAATAATATATATGTATACATTACGCTGCTATAAACATACGTGATGTGCACTTATCAAAAGAACAAACTGAATGATAATTGAAATAAATCGTTTAAAGATTGTTGAAAAAAAAACAAAAAATATTACATTCAATGATAGAAAACTACTAAGACTTTGGGTTTCCCCACAAACCCCTACACAACACAAATTTAAATTTCCCGATTAACACTCAATATATAATAGGCCTTCCATACAAAATTAAGGGTATATATAAACCCCATCAAATACTTATAATTTTTTTTACATAGTGCTAAAGTCCCCATTCAATCGATAAAAAAAACGGATGACATGGCTAAATCTTCATAATTAAAAAATTATAAAAACAAAACCACAATTTTTTTTAAAAATATAAACCCCTATATAAAATGGTTTTATGCATAAGAGAAAAATCGAAAATCACATACAACTTTTGACTGTGTTTACAAATTCATGGGTCTCATACTCCGGAGCCCCCAAGGCTCCTAAAATAACTTTACCCACATCAACACCTTGCAAACAATAACCTTCTCATCGGCTTCCAACACTAAAAGGGAGCCCCATAAAGAGCCCAACCCCCTTGCCTCTCACCCCACCCCCAAAGGAGTAGACGTTAACAGTAAGTCCACGATAACCCCCCGGAAAACTAATTACCCACCTTCCCCCATATATTTTTTGTTCCTACATGCTGTCCTATAAAAACTCCCCGCCAACGCTTTTACCCCAATGTTCCCCTCACTCCCTCATCCCCCAAAAAAAAATACAAGTAATCAATTTTAAGTATCGTAGCCTTCCCCCACCTCTTTGGGCCCCCCTCCCTATTAACTTTAAACCCCAAAGGGGGTGATATCTGTCCCCCCCCAATAAAAGAAAACCCTCTTAACCACAATTTCCCCAAACTCCAATGCAGCAAAAATTAAAATGAAACCCGTTTCAACTTCCCCAAAAAAAAAACCGCATGAGCCTCTTAAAAAAACCCTTTCGTTTGCACCTCTATCGATGCTAACGTCCCAAAAAGAAATTATTATAATTCCCTCGTTTGCGGTTTTTCTTTTTTTACAAAATTCCCCTACACTCTTTTCATATGGGGGATAAATCCCACCCTTGCTTTAAATTCCGACGACGACCCAACCCACTACCGTTTTCCCTTGATTTTTTTAAACATTGATACCTTTAATTAAACCGCAACAATCTTCACACTCCAAAAGCCCCTGCCACCCCCTTTGCGGATATCCCCCATCACCCCCCCCACCCGAAGCCCCCTTTCCCCCCTGCCAAAATTACCTCTGCTTCACTATGCGCCTTCACCTAGCCCCTAATGAAAAACCCCAGCCCTCCCTGCCTTACCGCGTCTTTTAAAATCTTTCCCAAACCAGCCCTCCCATAACCCACCATACCTTAAGACTCTTCTTTGCATTTCCATAATTCTGACTTCGTAAGGGGGGAAAAATTTCCGCCACCCCCCACCCTTACTATAAATCAGCGTATTTACCACCCAACCCTTTTGATGCAGGTTACACCCCGGGCCCCTTAAAACTCCGGGCCCTATCAAAGCTTTGTCCATTCCTTTTTTCTAAATTAAAAACCCTCCTGCTTCCTGGCATTTGCCAAAAACAAAATCCCAAAAATTTTAACCCTATCTACAGTTATCCAACCAAATCCCCCCCCAAGGTCCCCCCTACCAAGCGCCTCCCTCCAGAAAACCGTGATTTTGCTTTTTAAAACTTATCCCAGTGCTTTCCAAAAATCTCAATTCCCCTTCCACTTTTTTAAATTTCTTCTCTTAAGTAAAACAGTTGTATCTTATAAAACCAAAAATTTCCACAATATCTCCACTCTCCCCCTCCTTCCCCATCCCCCCAAAAACCAGAAATAAAAAGGATTCTGCATAATGAAAAGAGTATTTGGGACTACCCAACCTCCATTTCCCTGTATTCTTTGATGCTTCTCATAAAAGTCCTCACCACCCAAACCCACCCTCCCCCCAAAAACCCATTCTACCATACTCTAAATAAAAAATTCCCACCCACATAATATAAGCTTTCTCCAACCCAGACCTAGAATCCCTTATTACTCCCCTAAAGAAAATCCGAATAGCCTGACCTACCCCCATACTCCCCCCGGGATCCAAAAGTCCCCCCGATACCGACCCATGACCTTCTTCGTCTATTTCCCAAAATTTTTGCAAAAACTTGTAAAGCGCCATCAAAGATATTGCACGGTAAACCTCAACTCTTACCCCCCTCTTCTTTTGGGACAAAAATATGACACCCCTACTTTGCGTGTGCCCAACTTTTCCCCCTGTTAAATTTGGGGCCAATAGCCTAAAAAACATGCCTAAAAACCCCCCTGTGCTCTATAAAAATTTTGGTTACCCTTATCCTGGTGTTTTCCCCGGGACTATCCCCAAAAAATGCCCTTTCCCTCAACCTCACTTATACCAACCTCCAACCCCCCTTATCCTGCCACTTAAAAGTATGGAACCCCCCTTCAAAATACCCTCCCAGGAACCCCTCCCCCCCAATCCCTTTTCCCTAAACCCCATCAGCATAAAGACTCATCTTTCCGTATTGGTGGACTGGGCCCACTGGAAACCCTCCACCCCCGGGTTGTCTCCCAAATTTTAGAAAGGGGGTTACACTTGTCGATCCCTAAATTTTCGTTTTAAAAAATACCCCGGGGGGCTTATACCCCACAAAAAAATCCCCTAACCCCCCCCTAACCCTAATTGCATCAAACCTTATTTTGTAATTCAATGATTCTACTCCGGGACTGTCCTTTTTTCCCCCTACACCTCCCCCAAAATAACAATCTTGCAATGCCCTCCAGATAATTTTGCAACCCAAAACGCCACCGCACCCCGCCTTTTCGTCCCTTACCTTAAAAAAATTCGCATTCCGGTTTGGCCTGCATTTCCCCCCCCAATTAAAGTCTATCTCCCCGTCCCTAGCCCCCATAAAGGCAACCCCCAAAAAATGAAAAAAGGCCCTCCCCCCCCTCCTTTAAAAAGCCTTTTTTTTATTTCCCCTACCCAGAATAAATCGCACCACTCCCTCCCACATCAAATTGCTATTTCCGCCCTTTATCAGAAAATCCCCCGTCAAGGGTTTGCACCCCCACAAAGTCTATTCCCCGCTTAGTGATTTGTCCAAAAACCCCTTCTATCCCCCAGGACGAAGTGTGCTCCCCTGGTATCCCCCCCTCCCCACCCATCTCACCCCCAAAATTTTGCAATAAAACCCGAACATCAAAAACAAACCGCCCCCTGGTTCGACATCCCTCCGATACACAATTCCATCACCCTCCAATTTGTTTAAAAGGCAAAACCCCTCAAGTGATCATCGTACCTCCCTGACAAAATTACTTTTACCCCGGTATTACTAGTTGTGGGATGTAAACTCCTACAAATTGCCGCCCCTTTACCCAGGGCACCCCTCCCCCCTCAGACCCTCCCCCCCCCTTTCCCAGCCATGACACGAAGGGGCGGTCTCCCTTTTTCGCACTGCACCCCCCTTTCAATTGCAAACCCCTGGTAACATACATCCCATATCCCTTTTTAACCCCAAACACAAACCAGCCCTATGATTAGCTCTTGCAAAAAACAAAATGTCTACATCAAACGCCGTAAAAAACCACTCCCAAACCCAAAATTTCTTTAAACCCAGTCTAAGTCCATTAAATTAAGGTGACCTTCTGAAAATTATAGAAGGGGCGGCTTTCCCCTATTTCCCCTGGGGTTTTCTCGCTGCATTTTCACATTACGTTTCCCTACCACTCGGTTATCCCGTGCGTACCCCCCCCCCCCTTCCCACGTGCAATCAGGCGCACCCCTACCCTATGTGGCATGGTCCACAACCGCTGCCCTTTAAATTTTTCCCCCGGGCCCCTGCCCCGGGGGAATAACCTGTCTATCTCTGATGCCGCAGTTCTTTTCTAG